GCATCAAATAGTAGTCAGTTTTATCATGGATGCAGAAAATCTGCACTTTTGAACTAACATTTGCGATGATATCAGAAGAAGACTGACGAACCTCAAGCCCGAGAAAAACCCCTAGACCAAAAAAGAAAAGAGAAGCTTTTGATAGCTGATAAATTAAAACAAATACAAAAATCTGTTATTTCCAGGCTTAAAGAAATTGACATCTTTTAAAAATTTTACCTGGGAGGCAGCAGAAAATTAGAAGGCAGATCATTTTATCTTTAACAACATAAAGCCTTTAGACTTTCTAAGCATTTAGAAGCTTGATAACAGAGTTTAGTGGATTTAAATGACTAGAATTCGATCACACCAAGTGTTTATACTAAGAATTAACAGCCCAGCTGACATAACTGAGGTTTAAGAAGGAAAGGATGTGATGATGATACGTCATCACTTTACAGTTGCTGGGAGGGGTTTTCTCTTCAACTGATGTTTCCCTGAAGATTTCTGTGTACTGGAATAGAACAACATTCTTGTTTACAGATTGAAAAACTGATTTAAATCCTATTTGACTGACTATAACAACCATAAATTGTCATTACTTAGGCTGTGCAGTCTTTAAGGATATCTGAATTAGAGTTTTCCACGAGCACTGCATAGTAGTGTCTTACTGCATGAATATGTTTAGTGATGATGTCTTTGCAACTACTAGTGGCAGAAAAGGAAATGTGAACCTTTATAAGGCTTGGAGGAGTGTCTGCTCCTTGGTTTTGTAAACAGTATGTGCTTTAAAAACATCCAACATGGATCAAGTCAAACGACGACCACTACAGCAGGTGCTTGGGAGCTTGTCTTGTCAAAACCACCAATGATAAAAATTATGTGGAGTTTTTGTAAAGTTCAGAGGAGCTTTCTGTCATTGTGCTTTGCTTGCTGCACAGTAGTACACTGCACTGTGCTCTCGTCCTTTGACTTGGATAGTTAGTGAGCCATTCTTTGCAGAATCGCCCCCAAGATTTCCAGTGATACTGAAAAGATCTCTATATTGTTCTTCAAGTGTGACGGCTACATAGTTTAAAAACCCAATGAGTTTCATAGCCGTGTCTCCAGGCGACTGCTGGTACCAGAACATCATCCTGTAGTCAGTTTTATCATGACTGCAGAAAATCTGAACTTTGTCACTAGCCTTTGCGACAATATCAGAGGAAGACTGACGAACCTCAATCCCCAGACTAACACCTAGAACAAAGATAAAAGAGAACATTAGCTTGTGAAGGTTGATACATTTTAGAGAAACAAGCCAAAAAACAGAGTGCAAGTGTTTCCTCAAATACTTAAAGAAATTAGCACCTTTTCAAATTATTACCTGACAAGTAGCAGAAAATTAAAAGGGAGATCATCTTGTCTGTATTCAAAGCGTGACTTTAGATGTGTTTAGAAACTTTATATAAGATTTTAGTGGCTATGAATTAATGAAATTGGACCACACAATTGTTTATACCTAGAATCATCTGCCTATCTGACATGACTGAGGTTTAAGAGGGGAAAGGGAGGAGATGAAGAATCATCACTTCATTGCAGACAAAACTGCAGATTGCTGGGCGGAGCTTTCTCTAAGTAAACTGTCATGTTTGTGCTTTTCTGTGGTTTTTGTGTAAATGTGCCTTTTAGTCTACATGTTGTATTTAAATATAGATTTAATCGTCGGCTTTACTATTAACAGTGTTACGGATAAAAATCAAAATTGTGATTAATTATACAGTATTTCCGGATGGATCTGTGTGTTTCCTACAGGTAAAAAAGTAATCTTTCATATAGAGATGCTTTGTTTAAGTATGTGAAACAGTGCTCTAATATGTGCTTCCTTCCTGGTTATGTAAACTGTACTTAAATTACATGCTTAGTTAAATGAAAATGAAATAGTCAGGCTACAATACAACCACTAACGCAGGTGGTGGGAGCTTGTCTTATCAAAACAAGCAATGATCAAATATGTGAAGCTTTTGTAGAGTTCAAAAAACCTTTTTGTCATTGTGTGTTGGTGCACAGTGGCAGAAAGTGCTCGTGTCCTTTGACTTGGGTATAAATTGAGCCATTCTTTGCAGCATCTCCACCCACAGTTCCAGTGATATTGAAATCATCTCTATGTTGTTCTTCAAATGTGACAGCTGGATAGTTCAATTACCCAGTGAGTTTTATAGCTG